TCTACACATATATAAATGCTAATTGATGTTTTAGAAATTAACAGAAATATACCAAATTATTTGAATTTATGAACATGAGAAACATAACCACAGCTTATTAGTTATTGCAGCATAACTAACGAAGTTTTATAATATCAGTAAATGTATATTTCCACTTTATTCAACTCAAATTGTTAAGAAATCAGGGGACTGGAAAAATATTTTGTCTTTTTCGACTCAAGCCGTGACTTAACTGAATAGGAAAATGTATCAACAATTCATAAGACAGTGTCTTGTTTTCTTAACCTGTAATCTCAAGAGAAATCAAGGAAAAAAACTATGACAAAAATATTTTTAGACGTTTCATAAAACGTAATATTTAATAAAATTTTAATCCCGCTTTATTTATATAATAAGATCATAATAAGATATCTTCATTATATACAACATTATCATAGAATCAAAAATAATTAATATTGAAAATAAATAAATATGTAAACCTTTTATTTGATAAGCTAAATAATTTTCGTGTATACGAAAAAATGTTTTGTGAAAAATTATATTAAGCGCGCATTTTAAGTTAAATAAATGATTTCTTATACAGAAAAAACACTAAGAACACCTCTAATTTCCCCCTTATATTAACAAGTTAATTTTAATCCAAATCAGCAAAATAATTGATATTTGTTATTAATTTCAAACATTTTATTTATTAAAATTTCTTTGAGAATTCAAGGCCCAATTTCTATTAAATTAATTCATTATTTCAAAGAATATTTAAACAAAAAGGATTAAATGGAATATTTAGTTCTCTCGATCACCGACAGATTTAAATAGCATAGTGTTCAACACATTACTCATTTCATTGAAATGGTGAAAATAATAGGTGATTTAAAATATCAATATTGTTGATTAAAAAAAACCATGAAACTTATTCATTTTGAAATGCACTTTGAAAAGTGAGAAGTAAATTGTAATATATTAAAATTTTAATCCAATAATCACCTTTTCTAAATACTAATTGAAAAAGACACCTCGAAAAATGAAGATAGTTAATTTGACTATATATTTGTATATGTACATAAACACATACATTTAACGTTTATATTTAGATTTTTACCAACCTAAGCTAATTTCGAAAAGTCTTGTATTTGAAACACATCCCAAAAAAACATAGTCTTTCCTTAATTCGTCACAATTATTATTTTTTAGATTAATTGGACATTATGAATCTTCTTCTAGAACCTCTATCACAACAAGTTTAAGTTCCATTTTGATATATAATCTCCAAAAAAATGTTAAGTAAAAAACAATGTTATACTTGTATAAAGTTTCATATAAGTTTCCATAAAAATTCAATAGGATTGAAAGCAAAGTCTCGTGTAATACTAGTATTATATTTCAAATCTCATCCTATTTAAATTATAATCAATAATATAATGAACTCTAAAATTCATAATGTCCCTAGGTGTTTAAACAATCTCTGTTTAAATTAGAATATTAAATATAGTGGCAAAATTAATTAAATAATTCATATCATTATGTTTTATACGTGTGAGTTGAATAGAACTAAATCAATTCAGGCGTGATGTCAAGTGAACTGTTATATCTGTTTATATTGATGACTGTATTAATATATTTTTATTATATAACAAGAAAAATACCGCGGCTCTGTCTGTGTATATTTATTTAAACGAAAAATCCTTGTTTTGTCAGAAGCAAAATGTATTACAAGAACACGTAAAAGATATAAACTTTCTGAGCCACACGTATTTTCCTGCCTAAAATTTTATTTAATTTTACTTCATTTTACGTAATATTACTTCACTTATGTAAAAAATATATACTAATCAAAATAAAAGGAAAATTTTAAAATTAATATTAATAGAAAATTATTAATTGAGAACCATAATTCTAGTTAAGTTGATTGAGTAATTGAATATAAAGTGAAATTTTAATCATTTCTTAATACCTTTACCAATACATTTTACTTTACAAAATGAGCGGTACAAATCAATTTATTTATAGTGGTTTTAAAACATAATAGTTTTATTAATATTCATATTAAGGATAAAAAATATGATTCTGTCTTATGAATTTTTGATACATTTTTTGTTCCGTTAAGTTTCGACTTGAGATAAAAAAAAACGGAATATGTTTCGGGTACCTACTATGTGACTTACCGTAAGTTTTTACTGGAAATATACTTTATACAGATGCGATATTCAGTAATTGTTTTACGTAATAATGATGTTCTTTTTAAAATAATTCAAGATTTGAAACTATTGAGAATGCTTTTTTTATATTTCATCATCATCACTTCAGCCATATGAGGTCCACTGCTGAACATTGGCCTATATTTCATAATGTAAGTAAACTGATATGTTCTCGTTTTCCTTTTGTATCTCTTTTAAAATTTATGCATTTATTTGATTGCATTAATGACGCGAAATTATTAATTAACTTTGCCAACTTTAAATTAATATATTTCTGAAATTGTACACCTAGAGGCTTTAATCCGTTTTGTCTTGAATTATTTATTATAACCATTAAATTTACTTCAAATAATAAAATTATAATAACACTCATTTTCAAAAAATAAGAATTAATTGTTAAGCAATTGGTAAAATTTGAAACTCGCCTACAGGAGTTCTTATAGAATTCCTCATAATCATTAGCCTATCAGAGCACACTTCTGAGCAAAGTCATCATCTCACATTCAGAAGAAGATTTGAGTGTTAATGACCACGCTTGCTCAAGACCGGTTGGAGATTTCAAACTTATAATTTGTAATTATAAGTCCAGGTTTCCTCACGACGTTCTCCGTCACCGTCTGTCGGTGGTATCTAAATACTCTGAAAGTACATATGACTCGTAAAAATCACATTGGTACTTGCAAGATTTCAAACCCATGTCGTTATGCATGAGAGGCGGGTGTTTAACCACTAGGCCACCATGACTCATAGAATGAACATTTATGTAATATTTAAAGCATTTCAAAGATCTTTTAAATCAGATCAGAAGGATTAGAATAACTTATCCATATTAACTTGTATAATAACACTTATCCCGAAACATCTTATTTGAACTGAGTTTCCAAACTTTGTGGTGTTAAATTAGTTATTTACATAATAATGTAATTCTTGGTCTCTTGCGGGTAGTTGTTTGTAGGTATGTTGTAATAGCTTCACCTTAAATTGTTCACTGAGTTAGTCAGTTTGACCTCCATGCATAACATCTAAAAGTTTATAGAGATCATGCATTTTACATAATTTTAGAGCAATACTTACAATGTATATATACCCATATACATATGTATATACTATTCCTTTTTATTCTAGGAAATATTGCAATTGGTTTGTACGTGGTCTGTACTTAGAACCACAAAACTAAAAATAATACTAACAATATTTAAAGTTCTCAATAAATAATGGGAACAAAAGTAAATAATTTTTAATAACTACTAATAAAAAATAAAAACAAATTAAAAAAGAACTAATACTTAGTATTAATAAATAAAGATAAATTATAGTGGATGCAATAGAATGTCGCCTGCCCGTTAAAAATAATAAATTACGCGTAGTAACGTATAGTAATCCGAAAATATTAGTTTCATTTAAATAAATACTTTTTTTTATGGGAACAGGGGGCAACCGAGCAGACGGCCTACTTGATGGTAGGTAGTTACCGTCGCTCATGGACATCCGCAACGTAGATTTGCGGATGTGTTGCCGCCCTTCATTGGGGAAAAGGTGGGAAAGGGAGGGAAAGGAAAGGGTGGGAAAAGTTAAAGGGCAACCGGATCTCTCACTCACCGGACGAAACGCAGTCTTTAAAGACTACTTCACGCCGATTTTCTGTGAGAGGGTGGTACTTCCCCGGTCGAGCCAGCCCATGTTCGAGCTGTAGTAACTGACCACAGCTAGGCTCTACCACCTCAAAAAATACTTGCGAAATAACTTATTATCAATGTTTTAGAGGAGGAAATTATGAAATTTGTTTTTTTTTTTCAAACATATTCTACTTACCCTAAACCAAATCTCTGTGCACAGTGCACACTATTGTATGTTGTTATATTATTCTATAGTGATTCAGGTTAATGTTCTTTTCACAAACAATGCAAGGTTATACATTTGCTATTTGTATTAATTTTTACGGGTTGGACCATTTTAACTTTTTAATTAATTTACATATTTATTTAAACTATGATTGAAAATGTCAATATATTTATATTGTGCATAGAACAAACTTTTACAATAAGATTTTTTTTTAAATTATAATTAGTCCTATAAGCAGGAGTTGAAAACTGTCATAATGACAAGAATATACGAGACAAATTGAATGATAATAATTTACTCAACGAATAGAGGAATTTGCCCAAGTTATTTATAATTTTATACACAAAAAATGTATCTTTACTTTGTATATTTATCATTAATTGGTTTCTACATTGTTGATGCATATTCTAGAGCTAAACAAATATATGTAGATGTTGTATAAAATAATAAATAAAAAAAGAATTTCTCAATTTCAGCTTATCTAAATATGAGATAAGCTGCCTAAGTAAGATCCTTCAAACCAGTTACAAAATATTAATTGATTCATTTATGAGTAACTTCATATTTTTTCCCTGAAAACATGACTACGTAATACTATTCCAAAATAATGTGTAATGTATTAACAATTCAGCATTGTAGCAAGTAAATTAAATCTCCTTGTAAATGTGTACAATGTTACTTACCTTGCTGCTTTAAATATTTTAGTATCATCAGTATACAAAATATTAAATAGTATGAGATGAAGGTTAGGGCTCTGGAGTATACTCAAATTATTAACGTACTTTTTACAAAAGCAAATATAAAACCGTTCAGCAAAAATTTCTTTCCACTTTTACGTTTTTTTGTGTTAGCAATAGACACGGATAGATGGGCAGTCTTTTATGTGTTTTTCTATACTTATTATTTTCTCTATATAACAATTCAAAAGTATGATTATAAATGATTAAGTCTCTCTCAGAATGTCTAATCTAAAATACAATAATATTTTTGAGACTAGACTAGAAATTCCTTAAACCTACACCTGGGTCGCAAGTTCCAGGCACTGTTGAAGCTCCTTTCCCTGTAACGATGGACCCGACACCCTCATATATTGAATGTTAAGAGGTTAATTATGAAAACCTTACCTTGCATTGTGGGAATTGTTCTGGCGGCCTTGTGACTCTCCATCCCAGTAGCGGTGGTATACAGACGAGGCCACTCATCAGCCAAACAGCTGCTATCATCAATAACGCTCGAGCTGGCGTCCGCTTCTTCAGGTAGTCCACTGCCTGAAAAGACGTTAAAATTTTATTGACATCTCGTCTGCTGTGATCACGGTTGCTACAAAGTAACCCAAACTTAAGGAGTGTGTAGTTCTAAAAATAATAAACTAACCTGTAGTAATCAGAAAATATGAGTTTCATTTCAATGAATACTCGCGAAAGTCTTAGATCTTTAAATTGTATCGAAATTTTGTAAGCATTCATATGAGTTTATGCCGAGTAATATTAATATCAAATATTCTAAATATTATCTTTATGTTAATGCCAGTTACATCTAGAAGTATGTAAGCTGTGATTCCATGGAGTGCGTGAATGGAATGCAACACATATTTGAACAAATAGAAATAACTGTATTTGTCTCAAGAAAAATAATGTCTACGCTAAATAATGAAAATTTTGGCTGTGAACAAAACTATTTTAATACTGTTATTAATATCTCATATTCTAGCATTATAGCAAGGATTTCAGACGAATAAAATTTAACTGAAAGCGGCAAAGATATGTCCAACATTGATTGACCTATTTCCTTATATTCTAATCGAGACGAGTTTTTTAATCGTCGACAGCGAATAAAAATCAGCGTATTATTAAATACGTCATTCCCTCAATGAGCCGAGACAAATAGATTACAAATATCGTGCCATTAAAATGAGTGCCAAACGCAATATACCAAGATTTAATGGCTTCGCTGTGCACTCGATACGAACCGCATATCGTAAAGATATCAATAAACACATTGGAGAGACATAACGATGCTTTCGGAATGCGGCATAATGTTTGTATGCTTTTATCCAAGACTCTAGATTCTGTTTTCCATAATGAAATCCAACGGCTAATGATAAGGGAAGTCTATTCTAGGAGTGTTTATATAATGTGGCGAGTTAGTATTATTTGAGTAAAATGGTTAAATTTAAGAAGAAATGAGCAAAGAGATTATAACATATTTTTGTCTTCAGTCTCTTTGGTTTCTGTACAAAAGAACTTTTCCGTCTCACTGTTTCGTAAACTTAATAATAATCTGTTAAGCCATTTAAATCTTGAACAAACTTAGAAATTAATAACAATAACTAACAAGTCAGCGTCTAAAGTTTAGTTTTGATGAAATTTAATATAAAATCTACATTTACCGTCATCAACAAATTTCGGCCAGACTCATAATAGCCGATCCTTTGCAATGTTGAATTGAGAAATCCGATGTTAATATCCGTTTCTATTTCCTCGATGTTTTGATTTATTATAGTCATACAATAATGTCACTTACACGCACAGATAGAAGACGGTTGATGCCGGACTTATTGTTACAAAATAAAAGAGCTATTAAGGATTTAATGATTCTAATTAAAACCTAATGCTTATCGTTATCTCGAGTATTCCCTATCGCAACGAGTTGATGGTGTTTTGAATGTCAATTATATCATTATTGGTTGGGGTCTTGACCCCATTTATACATCAGACGAACCCGTAACACCCTAGTTGGACATTAGATTAAGTCTCGCGTAATATATTATTTTATATTTTTAATTATTTTGTACTACGAATAGGAATTTAAGATTAAAATTACGTCATCTAACGTCGAATTTTTCTTTGCAGATGACAATTGATAATGTAGATTACTTTTAATTAAAAGGCTTTGATAGTGTTTTCGTAAATGGATCTGTGGAGTCAAACTGACTACTGACTTTATACTAAAATACAAATAATTTTGTAAATATAATAAAATTATTGAATGTCTTATAACAAACAAAATATGAAATTAATCTTTGTATAAAATTTCTAAATACTACATACCCTTATGGTCCAAATAAAAATCAATTTTTCATTTAATATTTAAAATAAACTATGAGTATATGATCGTCAAAAATAATTCATCCTATAATGCTTTTGAAGTGGATATTTCAGTTAGACATAAATTGTGAGCATATAGTTATTATAAAACTCGAATTCCGCTTGTAAAATAAATTGGACCCACTTCATAAATGAAATGATATTCCATTTTATAAGCACATGATGTTGTAAAACCGGTCTATAGAAGTGAATGTTTTCAATACTTTAAAAAAATATTATAGGAGCAGTTAGTAAATAAAAAAGTTTCACATGTAAGCTTCAGAGTTCAACTTCGAAAAAAAAAGGATAAAATATATAGCGACAATTATATGTTTTTCAAAATAACTTAAGTGCTGTTCAGATATTTGACGTTTTAACTTGTAACAAATACATTTTTGGTTAAATAATTTTGAATAATAATTATGAATATATATGGTGCTCTTTATGACTTTTTTTAATCATACATGAAAAAAAATTTTTAATTTTTTAAAAATAAATGCTAAAATTGTACTAATAAAATAACCTTCGAATACTAAGTGAAATATTAAAAATATCTGTGGTTGAGAAGACTAAGATTTTATCATTATACGAGTATACAATAGCTACAAAATAATTAATATTTTCACTTAGTTTTAATATATTATTTCAGTCTGATTGATGTATGTAGTCTAGAATATTTCTTATATTATTAATGTTCAAAGTTATATACTTTCATACGAGCATCAAAACAGAATAACTTCATATTTCACTAACAAGTTTTAATTAGTTATTTTTTTCTCATGAGAATTACAACTTTGTAATTAGTTTTAGTAATTGAAACAGGCTGAAATAAGTTTTTTAAAATCTCCGGGCGCATAAATTTTCAATTAAACTTATACTTTATTACTTCAGCTGAGATATGACTAATCTTCTGCAAAATTTCAACATTTCAGTTTCAGTTAAGTAATATTAATTACGAGGAATTTCGTTAATTATAAATTACTGTAATCTATAAAGATTCCTCCCTTTTGTGAGTATGCTTTGATACCCTATCTTACTCGAGTTTGTAAATATTATTACTATAAATTATTTCTTACATAACGTTTTGTTGTTTCTAAGATATCAGTTTTGTTTATTTCTGTATTACTGGTAATAAATATTATGATGGGTTACAATTACACACAAGCTTTTACAACGATTAGGAATGTACGTAGAAATTTAGGATTCATATTTTTATATATATATATTATATTATAATAGAAAATAAGAATTGTTCTTATTTTGTATTATAATTATTTTCAATTATTATCACCAGTAACTTGATAGGAATAAAGCCGTCCAAATTGAATAAAAATTTATCAAATTATATTTAATTATATTGAAAAAACCTTCATCAATTATATGATTATAAATTTATATACCAAGAAATTATATCTTTGTTTAATACGTCATTCATTTCATATACTTGTAATGAACTCTATATATCGGTTAATTTGGAGTATTTAACGAAGTACCCACGTCATATATCGTAAGTTATAATATTTATTAGTTGTGGAGACATCTTTATGAACAGTTAACACCCAGCTAGTACATGAGATGTAGACTTTGAGGTAAATATAGTTTAAAACGGTCGCTCTTGAACGTGGTCAGACGTTTAAATAGCCGGGTCGATGACCTCTTTAATGCTTTACCTATATAACCTATCACCTATCACCACTGACCTAGAATAAATATTGCAATCAATTCACATTTTCATTGAATTAACTTTTGACAATAGATTTATAATCCATATTTTATTAAATTATATATATGTGTATGTATGTATTATGTACTTGAATATGTTTTGATAATATACAATGATTTTTAAAGTCTCAAAAATACTGTTTCTAGACATCAAAAACTATAGTAAATGTTTTTCCTGTAGTTTAAAACAAAGATGAATAATTTAGATTAACTAGTATAAAAATAATGAATAAAAATATGACAGGTTTTGTTTACTGTGGTTGTATTTAATTGTTCTTACTTCTAGCAAATCCTGGGCGGTAAATTAAAATTTAAATCTGTATCTACTTTGACGGGTTTCTACAACTTTTGTACTTTATCTTTACTTAATCGGAAGTTTCCATGATAATAATAAAATAATTATAATTTGTAATATGTATTTATTGTCTTGTGTCCGTCAAAATTTCATGTTTCTTTGATAATTAGATGATGTTTTCCCTTTATAGAAATTTATAAAGTTAATGATAAAAACATCATGTTGTTATAATGTCATTATTCAAATTGATATAAACATTTTGTTGAATTAAAAACTTCCTTCTTTTTGATGTCAAATCTAAAATTATCTACATATATTTCTCATTAAATATATTTCTCATTTAATTAATCTGCGGCTTAAAATAGCTTCAGCCGTTCTAGAGATTAAACAAAACAAAGAGGCTGATAGACAAATAAAAATTTAAAATTGCAGCTTAAATGTAGGTATCGTGTCTACTTTAATGTGCGTTCAGTAAGCTGTTATTTCTTAATTTAAATGTATGTTTAGACATTTTAACTATCAATTATTAAATGTAACATAATCAACACAAGATACATGGCATATGTTTAAAAAATACATATGAATGTGAAACTTTTTACTAAAAATAGCTGAATTTCATAACATCGTCATAAGCCTATCAGAGCCCATTGCTAAGTAAAGGCCTCTTCGCACATGGAGAAGATTTGAGAATTAATCACCACGCTTGCTCAAAACGAGTAAGTGATTTCAAACTAATAATTTGAAATTATAAATCCAGGTTTTCTCAAGATGTTTTCCTCCATCGTCTGTTAGTGGTATCTAAATCCTTGTAGAAAGTACATATGACTCGGCAAAATCATATTGGTACTTGCCAGGTTTTGAATCCGCGCCCTCATGCACGAGACGGAGATCTTTTCACCTCTAGGCCACCATGACTTTTTCATGACGAATACAGAAAAAGCATAATGAAAAGTATTTTTAGTATGTTTTCTTTAATTTCAATTCATTTTATGTCATGTTGTTATCATGTTATTAAATCTACATCGTTAAGATAACAGTTTATTGTGAAGTTTTTACGACATCACATTCTGTTGGGACGTGAAACTCGTATGTTAATATCATTATTAGTTTTGTTCGAATAAATTAAACTTTAAGTACATTTATTTGCTCTTGCCATTAATATTTA